CATCTTTTCATTGTTACCGGGTCCTGCTCCCACTCATTGCAGCCATCTCCTCCACTGTGGACTCCCACAGCTCTCTCTCCAGAGTCCCCGAACTCGCGATCTCTTTGTCATCTTCTGTATCAGATCACTGGCATGTCCCACCATGTCAGACACAGCTGTGGACAACCAGCTCTGAGACCACCAAGGACTTAAAGGAGAAGAAAGAGGTTGTGGAGGAAACAGAAAATGGAAGCGATGCACCCACTTATAGGACTGCTACTGAGGAAAATGGGGACCAGGAGGCTGACAATGAGGTAGACGAGGAAGAGGAAGAAGATGGGGAGGAGGAGGAGGAAGAGAAAGAAGGTGATGGCGAGGAAGAAGATGAGGAAGCCGCGGTAGCTACAGCCACATGGGCAGCTGAAGATGTTGAGGATCATGTTGACACCAAGAAGCAGAAGACCTACAAGGATGACTAGACAGCAAAAATAGGGACAGTTAAACTTAAAATAGGCCACCGTGACCTATCCACCCTCCACTTCGCGTTTCAGAATCTAAACGTGCTCACCTTTGATTAGAGAGTCCCACCCACCCACTTTGGGGAGCTCTAGCCACAGAGAACACATGCTCACCACCACCCAAGCCAAACCACAATGTCAATTTGCAACAGGGGAGAAAAAGAACCAAAACTTCCAAGGCACTGGTTTTTTCCTTAAAAGGAAAATTTCTTTGTATTTTTTATTTACATTTTATATTTTTGAACATATTGTTAGGGGTCAGCTATTTTTAATGATCTCAGATGGCCAAACCAGCCTTTGGAGTGTTATCTGTCCTGATTTTTACTTCACTTGTGGTGTGACCATGTTCATTATAAGCTCAAAGGAGAAGAAAAAATAAAAACTTGTAAAAATAACAACAACAAAAATTACAATCTTATTCTGAGCATTCCAGTAATTTTTTTTGTGTATGTACTTAACTGTACTATAAGTAGTTGGTTTGCATGAGATGATTTTAAAAGGCCAAAGATAAAGTTTCTTTCCCTTTTTTTTTGTCTATGAAGTTACTATTTATTTTTACTTTTTTGGAGGGGAGGGCCTGTTTGATGTATGTGTGAAACAATGTAGTCCAACAATAAACCGGAATTTTATTTTACTGAGTTGTTCTAACAAAAAAAGAGAAGGAGTTTAGTTTAAGAGTTGGGGGGAGGGTGGATAGACTCCCCACTGAATAGTTTTCATCTTGTCTAGACAGGTCTGGTGAAAGAGATGGAGATAAGATTCTTATTCAATAGTGAGTAATTGTTATTGTGGCTAATTGTGATTGTCACAACTCTAAAGGTAGAAGTTTTGTAACAAAAAAAGGGGAGTAGTTCATCTTACAGTCCAGAAACAGAGGACCCTAGGATCATCAAGGAAGACAAGCACAAGTGGAATGTGGAACCTTATCCAGAGAAGCAGCAGCGCCAGAGATGGAGGCAGAGATGGGGGCATGGAGAGGGGGAGCGGCTGAGGACTCTAGATTCATGGACTAAGAAGAGAAGGACTAAGAGCTGGTGGCCAGGAGCAGACTTGCAGAATGTGCCCTTTGGAGATGTAATTTATTATATATGCCTGAGTGGGTTTTTTTGTTGTGTTTTTTTAAAAAAGCTAAAGTGGATAGAGAGAAATACTTTTAACTGATGGTATATGGAGGGGATTATAATGAATGTAATGAAACAAGTTATATGAATTGTTGAATGTGAAACTGATGATGTGCCTTGTAAACTTTCACTCAATCCACAATAAAAACCTTAAATTAAAATTTAAAAAAAAAGAGTCAGTGGTGAGTGTCTAAGAACTCACCAACACACAATCATCAATCAATGCAAATACAGGGACACAACAATATCTCAAAGACAACGGAGTCTTTCAGTTTTAAAGAAGAAACAAGACAGAGTATCTCAAATAAAGTAACCAATATGCAGAGCCAGAAAACATTTGTGATGAAGAAAAGATATTGGGACTACCGTATAAGAAGTCAAAAGAATGATATTTAGGTATCTTCAACAGATGGAGAGAAAGATCAAGAAAGCTGCAGAGGAAAACACAGGGAAAAAATATTTACAAATATTCAGGAAAACACTATCAGAACAAATGGGCAAAATAAAAGAAAAAATTGAAACAATACAAAATCTGCAAATAGAATATCAGAAGATAATGCTAAGATTTCAGAAAAGGATAATATGTTAAAAGGGCAGAGGAGTTAATGTGAACCAATGTAAGGCTGGATTAGTATGCTTGAAGACAAATCTCTCAATCCTAGTCTACTATAAGAATAATCAGACAAAAGGAAAACATCTGAAGAAAACATAAGATTTATGTGGGACACAATTAAAAGAGATTAGAAGTGTGCCAGAAATTCCAGAACAGGAAGAAACAAAGAAAAACACATAGAAAATTATCGAAGAGTTTATGGGAAAAAATGTCCCTAATACCATGAAAAACTAGAAGATAAACTTTCAAGAAACTGAACAAACAGGAGAAATCCCAAAAGGAAATCACTAAGACATCTCATAATCAAAGTTTCCAAAACCAAAGGAAAGGAACGAATCCTGAGAGTAGCTTGGGAAAATGAAAAGTTATCCACAAAGAAGGAACACTAAGTCTAAGTTCAAATTTCTCAGAAGAAACCATGCAGGCAAGAAGACAATGAGAAGACCTATATAAAGTTCTGAAAGAAAAACATGTCAATCAAGAATCATAGATACAGCAAAATTGTCCCTCAAACACTATGGTGAGTTAGGGCATTTCCACACAGGCAGAAATTAAAAGAATTTGTAATAAACAGGCATACTTTTCAAAATATACTAAAGAAAGTTCTTTGGTCAGAGAAATAACAACAGCAAACAACAAGCTTATATTAACATACATGACAATACCACCAAGAAGTCAAATCCACTTATAGAAGTATCCAATCCACCAACCACGTCTAGAAACCAAGCACAGGGTTGCTACGAGTTGGCATTGACTCAACAGCACACATTAACAAGAACAACATAGTAAAACAAACCACTAAGACTGGAAGCAAAAGGGACAATCAGGATTCTCTGAGAAGCAGATGTTGAAAGGGAGATAGGCGTGTTTAACATGTATTGGGGAATAGCACTTTGGGGAATAACTCTTATGAGGTGGGGGGGCAGAATTGAACAAGGGGAGCAATTAGAAGGCAATGCAGATGTGGGAAAGTCTCTGCCAGTTCAACAGGGAGCACCACAGTAACAATTACGCATCCACTAAAATGGCGAGATAAAAGATGAATGGCACTAAATGTTGGCAAAGATGTGCAGCAACCAGAATTTTCACACGTTGCTAGGGTGAGTATAAATTGGTAAGACCACTTGACATCTTTCAAAGTTAAATTTATACTTTTTCTATAACGAACTACTCTACTCTTGGGTCTATTTTGTTGTTCTGACTCACAGCAACCCTGTACAGGGTTTCCAAGGAGCAGCTAGAACGTTTGAACCACCAACCTTGCAGTTGCAGCTCAAACCAAACTTGCAGCCTAGTGCTTATCCTACAGTACCATGCCAGGACTGCATGTTGGTATATTATTGTTGTTGTTGTTGTCAGGTGCCATCGAGTCGGAACCGACTCATAGCAACCCCATGCACAGCAGAACGAAACAATGTCCGATCCTGGGCCAACCTCACTACCGCTGCCACACCCGAGTCCATCAATGATGCCACCTGGCTGATCCATCTCGTTGGGGGTCTTCCTCTTTTTCTCTGACCCTCCACCCTACCCAGCATGACATTCTTCTCCAGCGATTGTTTCCTCCGGACAATATGTCCAAAGTAGGAGAGACGAAGTTTAGCCATCCTGGCCTCCAAGGAGCACTCTGGCTGCACTTCCTCCAAAACAGATCTATTGGTTCTTTTGGCAGTCCATGGCACTTTCAGTACTCTCCTCCAACACCACAACTCAAAGGCATCAATTCTTCCACGATCCTCCTTATTCACTGTCCAGCTTTCGCATCCATATGAGGCTATTGAAAACACAATGGCTTATATTAACCCAAGAAAAATGAGAACATATTTCTACACATAACCTTATACATGTAGGTATTTAATAGCTTTATTCATTGTTGTTGTTATGTGCCGTGGAGTCGGTTCCGACTCATAGCGACCCTACACAGGTTGTTAATCTTTACGGGAGCAGAAAGCCTCATCTTTCTCCCGCGGAGCAGGTGGTAGTTTCGAACTGCTGACCTTGCGGTTCGCAGCCCGATTCGTAACCACTATGCTCTAAAACTAGAGACAACTCAAATATCCATCAGAATGATCCATCACAATGAGAATAAATAATAAAGGTGTGTTTTTTCATACCTTGTACAATCACATAACAGAAGGATGTCATGTTTGGTATGGTGGCGGGTCAGAGAAAAAGAGGAAGACCCCCAATGAGATGGATTGGCCAAGTGGTAGCTTCGATGGACTCAAGCGTGGCAACAGTAGTGAGGTTGGCCCAGGATTGGGCAGTGTTTTGTTCTGCTGTGCATAAGGTCGCTATGGCTCGGTACCGACTCGATGGCACCTAACAACAACAACAATCACACAACAATGAAAGAAGAACACTGCTGCTACATGCAGACCACCAGGCTTCAATCTATTCTGTCTTCAGGTAACTCACATTTGCTTTCTAACCAGAATGCCCAGTATCTGGAGGCATGGAGGCATTGCCGCTGAAAAGTCACAGGTACAGTGGTGGTAAGGACAGTTTCACAGCTACCATCTTACAGAGACATTCACTGTGAACCTCCCCAGAAAGATCATAGGTCTAAGCCAAAGCAAAGTTCAAGATTAAATTTTCAGTGTAGGCAGTGTTGGAGCAATCAGGTGCCAAACACCAAGTAACATGCCAGTCAAACATGGTACAACTGACAGCAGGGTTCCCACAGGTCCTGCACTGGGGGAAACTGGAACTCACAGAGTCAGAAGGCAAAGTCACCACAAAGCATCAGAACTCAGCGGCTTGCGTGATCTGGGGCTGAGGATACACCCAGATTGTACATCAAAAATGCAAAGAGCAGACCACCATCAACTCCAGTGGACAGAAGCTTATTAAACAGCAAAAGATAGCATTGCATGTTGTTAAATTCTGTCAAGTAGGTTCCGATTCATAGCAAGCCCATATAGGGTTTCCAAGGAGCCGGTGGTGAGCTTGAACCTTGTCATTCTAACCGACCTTTCAGTCTAGTGCATTACCCTACACCTACACCGCCACACCAACACTCCATTGATTGAAGTCAACACATGAATGCAGGAGAGGTCTCCCACAGCAGGAGAGCTCTCATAGGCAAGTGGTCCAGAGAGCCCCCAGAAGGGGAAGAAGGCATGAAGACTCCTAGGGAAGAGAAGGGAGGGGAGGAAGCTGCAGAAAAGTCGGAGAACCCCCAGAGTGGCAGTACCTTAAAGTCTTTATAACGACAGTCTTATCTA